ACTGTCCAAATGGTATTCATAAAAGGAAGGAATAGTTACTTTTACTAATCAGGAGGGTTTTTTTTAAAGTTACCATCATGACCAGCATTAACATAATGTTTTCGAATGGTAAACCTTCTGTACACAATTTCTTATAAGGCTGTGTTTGAAATAAAACATTAACTATGATAAAACATTAAGTTCACGCCTTTAGAAAAATGTATTAACTTGAAGATCGTGTGGAAGGGCAGATGAGAATTTTCACCGAGCAAAGCTTGGCCCCCAATCCTCAGCTGTTTTATAGCTTGTGATATTTCTGTCGAAGTGACAGTGACAGGCGCCTACTGCGGCAGTCTGGGAAGTATCAGCTGTTGTCGACGTAGAACAGACGTCGTCTGCTACTAAATGCCAATATTTTATTGATTAAAACCATGTAGTTTATATTTAAAACAGTAAACATATAATGGAAATAAAATGAATGTAATAAAACACTATTTGAGATAGAACTTGTATGTTTTAGGATCGTATCAGTATTGTTTGTATGCAAAAAATTTGCAAAATTACATTAGGAACTCATATTTAAAAGCCTGAACTTTAAAAACGATTTTGTTACCATACAATTAATAGTAATTGTAAAATAAAAATAAATAAAAAAGTTATAGCCCGTCTACAATCATAATAAACTATAAACAGGGTGAAGGTTTGCTTATAATGCGAGCAAAATACATGGATAATAAAGTAACCACGCCAATACTATTATGACTGCCTAATTTTGAAGGACCACAAGATTTGACATTTTTGAACCTGATACCATTCTTATGAATACGAAACTGCATTCACTGTAACTGATCGTTTTGCAGGAGAATACGATTTCAAGCTAGGTGAAATAAACTTCCCTTTTAATTGTATGTATTGGTTATTTCATGATTGAAAGACACTTACCGCAATACACAAGGAATGCAGCGATGTCTTATTGTGAAATAAAACCCTTGAAACACTCAAAGTTTACATTATAACTGCTTAGCTAAAAAATCAACAAAATTTCGAATTGTTCATAAAAACCTCGTCTATTCCAACGAGTTTTTGTCGTCCCACGAGAACCACCCTGTCAGTCCATCACCAGGTTTGGCGAAAACATCACCATTATACATCAAGTAAATCACGCTGAATATTTGACAGCTGTCGGGGGAATGCGTTTGTGGGGTTTAAGTTTAAATGACGTTGTCATTCGGGTGAAGCCAACTTTGGAAAAATGACGCCTGTCAATCTTCAGACTGGGCAAATGCATCCATATCAGGCACTTGCAGGGTTGAAATGTGCAGTAAAATGTGATTTAAAAAAAACCCTTGGTTATGTGAATTGGTTCTACTGTTTTTATTTCTGAATTTTTTGTTGTTACCATTGGCTATGGATAGAATCAGACAATTCATTTCTACTGTAATTGTCTACCAAGTTTTAGAATAAAATTAAACTACTTTATTTAAACTTAGCCACTGACAGAGTTCGCTTGATGTATATTACCGATTTCAAGTTTAAAACAACATCAAATGTTTAACCAGGCCAAACTGAATGTCCATAAGTATTGCATACCATTACATCGTTTATGTAATCATTGGTAAAAACCAAGAGAGGAAATTTTACTATTTACTTTTGGGTTTTTATGACGAATTGGCTTAGAACCTCAGGGGTTCTATATTGATTTCTACTTCAATATCCAATAGTAGAAACAATCAATAACACAGGGATAAATAGGTATGGAATGTCTAGTTTCGTCTACAGACGATAGTCCAATCTAGTGAAAAAGATGTGTTATAGTGGGTAAAGTGTATTGAAAAAGTTATTCAAGGATTAACAGAACATTCAATTAAGTAAATCAGCATTTGAACAATGCCCTGAATGTGTCTGATGAGTATGCATTACACATAGGCAATCGTTGTAGGCCTACTCAGTTCACAAAATTTAGGGGGCTTTGGAGGAAGAAATCTCGTCCTCTTGATCCATTAGAATAATAGCTCAACAGCTGAGGTTTGCCAAAACGTCAATCAGCTGTGACATTAAGCAAAAAAGTAGGGGAACTTCACCTCAACCAGTCTAAATCTTATTAACAAACTTTTTTAAACAGAAACTCGATCAGCTGGTTAAGTCAATCAGCTGATTTCAATCGTATTGCGATTACACTGCTCTTCAAGAAATGGAAGCTGGTAAAGTGATGCTGGTACTTCCAACAAAGACGTGCTAGTGTTGAGTTCTGCACCTGGTGTTCATCTATTTTCATTAATGGTTTCAACAATCTGTCTTCGCCGCGCGCTGACGAACACTTGACAGCTGCAGCAGCCGTGTACGAACTAGAAATTCTACACTTTGGTATTTGATTATATGATAGATGTTTCTACTTCCTAACTTCAATGGGTGTCTTAGAAAACAACCCCCAAAATAAGTCAAAAGCCTCTATTTGGAATTAAGAAACGTTAATTTAGATTAACTTAGGAATGATAAAACCAGAACTAATACTTCAAAACAAAGAAAATATTGTATTTTTTTACTTTATAAAATAAGAGTTGAACGAAAGAAATGAAAAATGAAAAACGTTTATTTATACCAAGAATATAAACTAAAACAGAGAGTAGCTATACAACTAACAGTACAATATTTCTAAAATAAAATAAAATTTGCCTTACTTATGGGATAGGCCTACATGGGCAGGTGCCTGTGCGTAGGCCTGGCTGTTATCAGTCTAAGAAGAACCGAAGATCTGATTTTTTAGTGATTAAAAGTTATTTTAAAAGGGATGTCATCTTGGGAATTTAATCTGTATTTACCATAAAACACACAATACTCTCATTTATTATTTTTTATCTGTTATAAGATTTAAATGTGCTAAGAGTTCTGAGTTGTGAGGGATATTTTTGGACCCTATATAGTAGCTATGTTTGGTGCGCTTTGGTATATTAGAATTCGTTAACAATAGTGGTATGATTTGTTGACGATCACTTTTCTTACGCTGACTTGGTACAATTTGAAGAAGGTATACACGATGTTGTATCAATTTTATTGATGGTATGATCTGTTAACGTTAAATTTTCTTACGCTGATTTGGTACAATTTTAGAAGGTATACACGATGTTGTATCAATATGATTGATGGTATGATCCTGTTACCGATAAATTTTCTTGCGCTGATTTGGTACAATTTTAGAAGGTATACACGATGTTGTATCAATATGATTGATGGTATGATCTGTTAACGATAAATTTTCTTACGCTGATTTGGTACAGTTTTAGAAGGTATACACGTTGTTGTATCAATATCATTTCAGTTTGATGGTATGATTCGTTGACGATCGATTTTCCTACACTGTAGCTCTATTGAAGAAACGAGGCGTACACGATCGTAGCGATATGGTTGCTTCTTCAGTATCCACTCGTGTCGTGGTACCACGTGTCCGTCTGTCTCGTGCCGTGTACAACACGTGTTCCACAGCTGTCTCATCGCCTCCCTCGCCCTCACGACGATGATATTTATATAGCAACACGACAGCACGCGTGTCATAGTAGCACTGCCGCAACCGCTGCCGACAAGACTTTTAATTTCGCATGCCTTTTAGGTTTGCACGATTTTTGATTTATTTGCTCGAATGATCTACTTGCATTTTGAATTAACCCCCCCACCCCCAATGTAAGCTGAGTAGCTGAGTGGTTGTGCTCGCCTGGTAAACAAAAGCTCACTGGTTCAACCCGAACCCATGGTGGACCCAGCTGTCCTTGATCATTGGGCTTTGAAACAGCTGATCTTAGTCAGTACAATACACAGATTATCTCACACCATTCTACACTCATCCTTAACTCGTATTTGGGTTTACGAACCTAGGTGGCGTCCCCATCTCAATTAATAGTAATAAGATTGCAACAAATTTTTAAATATCAATTCATAGGTCTTTCAAAACAGTCTTGATATTACAGAGTCCTTGATTATATCAAGTGGTGATTGCGATATTTTATGATTCTACAGAATAAATTTGGTGTTAGATGTTATATTTATCAATTTCCTTATGTGTTTACTGAATAAAAAGTAGCGGATGGAAAAAATGTGGGATAAGAAAAATACATTAAACTCTTTAATGGTTGAAACGTCGTTCAAGTTATAATCCCCGAAATATTGAATAGGAACTTTTAAAAATAAATCTCTCCCCTGTAGAACATTAAAAGAGGACTAACCAATTACAGGCTTCGAACCACTCCAGGTATTGTCTAACAAGTTAATTTTTGATGACTAGGGAAGATTTCAAACTTTAACTCTTCACGGATAACAAGCACGTGGTTATTTTAACTCAGACATTATTTAAACCAATAAGATACCCTTGAAACGTATATTTTTTAATAGTTTACTTACCTTTGACTGGCTTTCAACCTTACCGAATTAATTTAACATGTGATGATTTAAATTAAAACTGCAAGATTGCAATGAGACAATCCATGGTTAACTTTAGACAACAAATATTACTTCCGTAACTTAAGAGAAAACTTTTAAGAGTGAATTTTGACAGATTTCCAGCTATTTTGATTTCATACAATAAGTTAACATTGGGTAATTCAAAGTGAGATACATCCATAAAATTTTTCAACTACAAGACGAGTTTTACAAACCTACTTCTACTATTCTGGTCACTAGAAACTTTCACTAGAATTTCTACTCGTCCTTAAGTGCCTTAAAGCTTAAGAATAATCTTACTATTGTATTTATTAAAGGTAACACGTGGTTAACTTCTATACACCGACTATTGTGATCACTAGATACATTCACTAACAAATTTCCTTTACGTAAAAATTATAAGTGAGTATTTTTTAACAGTAACTTACTTTTAAAGGCTCCCAACCTCTCCAGATTTTATCTAATAAACATTCAATTTTAGAAATAATAACATAAACATACACACGTGGTACATCTTTACAACTCTACTATTCCCTCAAGCAATTCTCAAATTTACTTCCGGTAAAATTTAATAATATTCCTAGTAAACTTACCTTTGTCCGGCTTCCAGCCTTTGCGGATGAGTAGTTTAGCCACTCTCGCCAAGTGTGACGACCGCTCCGGTACACTAGACGCGGGGAGCGCTGCGGCTACAGACCGACTGAGCCGCTACCGAAGCCGCGCGGCGCCGACGCACACACTCACCGCTCAACCATTGATTGATGCTGGCCGATGTAGGTTTAATTGAATGCAAATAAAATATCACTTGTTCACGCCGTGCCTTAGACCCCGCCCACTCACAGTGGACGATATGCTTGTGTTTGTTTTGGTGCGAATTTTTCAGTATAGTTGTTGCATTTTTTTCTTTAATTGCTTAAGTAAATCTGTTGGTATTTAATTGTCAAAATATAGTAAGCGATAAAGGCAAAATTCAGTTTTCATCGGAAAAACTGCTGTAGTTTGCTTGTTATGAATGGTCGTGCATTAATTGCGCCAAAGACTTCGTTAATTGCAAGCCCTCAAAGGGTCCCAAAAAATGTTCCTTAGTTGCGCCAAGCCCAAGCCAGCATAGTGGTGAGTTGCCGGCAGATAGAATGTCCTTGTTTAGGTGTCATCCTAACCCATCCTAACCTAACCTAACATGACATAACTTAACCAAACCTAACATAACTTAACCAAAGCTAACATAACTTAACCAAACCTAACTTAACCTAACCTAACTCAACCTAACCTAACTTAACCTAACCTACTCAATTATACAGTCAAAGAGGGCTGCCACTTGCGGCCCCGTTAATGAACTTATCCGGTGGCTTCCTGGAGTAGTTGGTGAAATTCAGAAATACCCGACTACCTGACTCAGGTCATTTGGCGCAATTAACGCCCACACTTATGAATGTATTATGATCATGCAAATTTATTCATTTTATACTATACAATGCACAATAGGCCGCAACACAAACTTAACGTAATTGGGAAGCAAACCTAAGACTCGTCAAATTAAATGTTTTTAAAATATTTTTTTTTTTAGGCAATATTTTAATAAAACTCCAACCATAAAAATTTAAATTCGCGTAGTCTGCACTCTGCAGGTTTGCTGCGGGAGTATTTTGGGACATATTAGGTCTAATAAAAGTTTAAATGTTTATTTTGTAGCTACGTGTTTTTAGCAAAGATTTGTGGTCTTTTGTTAACTTTTAAAAAGCCACTCCACTTTAGACTTTTGGTACTTGGTTCACAATACAGATTAGATCAAACACTATATACATTCATAGAGTGTTTATGGGGTTACGATTTTGTTTGAGTGTATTTACCAAAATGGTTAACATTTTTTTCGGTACTTATTTAAAATATAAAGGAGTTGTCATATTTTTCTCTTTAATTTACAAAAATAAATGAAAAGATGTTTGTTTTGCTTCTACATTTCCCAATTGTATATACAGTACTGTAGTTTGTGCTCCATTTTCGTTTTACAAACCAGAATGGTGAAGGTGGTCATTTGTACATCTGTAGAAAATTTGTTTGGAAAAGGTTAAATATATGTTGTTCAGTGGAAAATTAGGATATGTTTACTTTTCCAGCACAAATTTAACAGTGCGTTACAAATCATTAGAGCATCAAAATATTCGCGGGAAATTTCCTTCCATAAAAAAATTTTTCGGAAAGATTTTTATTGTTCTAGCCATGCATAATTGGATCAAAAGATCAGCGATTCAACACTGATGCACCAACGGTTTTATTAAGAAAACCATTTTTACAACATTCTTATTTATGTATTTAATACCCGTGTTTTACCAGCACGATGTTAATATTATAAATAAGATTATCACAAAACACCGTTTAAAGATTAAGTTATCAACACAACACTTCTTAGACACGTACTGTTAACCGATTCGATGATACAGTATTGAATATTTACTGAGTTCCACATTAATATTGCACTTTAAAATTATAACTTGATATACGACTTATGGGAACAATTAATACAACAAAACTTACAATTTTTTAAATTATTTTTGATGTCAATAACTTTCAATGGACATAATTTTAAGCAGTTATTCAACTATCATTTAAATCATAAATATTACACATTAACACATTATACATTAATGATTCCTTATCAATACAAATACATAGAAATCAGTCAAGTACAAGTTAAAACCTAAATCTGAACCATTAGATAAGCTAATAACACAAATTTACTGCACTTCAAACAATTACAAGGATTATGCAGAGCCTGTAAAAATTAGACGCAAAACACATACAGAGTTCATATTGCCGCTAGCGCCTGAAACGGTTTTTATTTGCTGGATTTCTATGCCTGTGGGGTAAAATATAATGGTATTGTTAGGAAAATACTAAATAATTCCATATTTGGATAAGTCTTTCTAACAACGTATGAAAGCAGCTAAACTTTGTGTTCCTTATTTTTCATCAAAAGAGTCGAACAACGATAAAATATGGGCGATTTTCAACAGAGTTCGTATATATATATCAGGGTTTTCAATTGTCAATTTTATGATTAAACGAGGTACACCTTGCCTTGATAATAAGATGGGTTCAGCTATGTTCTAACTTACATACTAAAGTGTTACAGGACCTGTAATAGAACTATAAAATAAAGTTCAAGTAGGCGAGACGAAAAAGCAACCTGATCTTATTTTAGATCTTAATTGAATCGGTTGCAAAATTTGTACCGAACAGACAAGAAAGCGAGCTAATAAAAACGTTTTAAAATAGCTAAACAGATCATCTCACTCCATTCTACAACCATCTTTCACTATAATATTTGTGTTAAAATACGTCCGGGTCTCAGTATAACTGATTTCAGTTTATCTCAGTTAATGTATAAACCTTTATAATATTTGTATGCAATGTTACAATTCTACTGAATTAATCGACACATAATTAAACAGCTGATTCTCTTAATTACAGCTGATTCCTATCCCAAGGCTGTACAACTTTTGTGACATGCTTCGTAGGCCACATTTAAACATACGTTATTTTTACAAAATGGTGAAAATTAAACTGACCAACTTCTAAATCAAATCCTAAAAACAAATGTTTTCCCCATCGTAGTTGTCTGTCTTATTAATAGGTAAAAACTTAACTACACATTTTTAAAATATACGGTAAAGCGATACTTATAGAAGCTCTAAAGTAGATTAATTCAGGGTTGAGTGGGATATTTAATGCGGGTGGTGTGGTGAGTCTGCTCATGGCAGGGTATTGATAGTGTGTGGTTGGCACCACTTATTTCAAAGACGGCGGAAAAACTCAAGTGGCTATGTGTTTAGCGTTAAATCATCCGGCACCGTGAATTTATTTTTATTTTTAACAATAGACGATATTTACATTTATTTTAACTGTGTTGAAAACGAGAATTTTATATATTTGTTAATTATAATCGATGTGATGGATGGTTTATAAACTCTTGGTGTGTCACTAGAGGAAATTAAATTAATTTTGCTACAGTCACCCGAAAAGTGGGCTTCCTTGCACATATTATAACAGAAAGCCTGACTTTGGCACACAGTTTTTTTTTTTTTTTTTACTTTGGTGCACACCAATATTCCAATCAAAACAACACAAAACAGCGTGCTTTTATTATTATGCACGTAATCCATCTACGATTGAAAATTAGTTGGCAACACTTAAGGATATTACGACTACGATCAGCTGGTGCAGGGTTTCCCATTTCTTTTAATGTTTTGATTTAACCTAACCTAAAAACGTGTTTTACATTGCTTGAAAGACTAACTATTTATATGATTAAAACTGTGGGACAAATATAATGTGTAACACGAGTGCAAACTGCCTTTGCTGCCTTTGCTGCAAGGTTAAGTTAGGTTGAGTTAGGTTTGATTAGGTCAAGCTAGGCTTGGTTTGGTTAGGTTAGGTTAGGTTGGGATAATTTAGGATGACACGTAAACAAGGACAGTCCATCTGCCGGCAACTCACCCCTACCTGGCTTGGGCTTGGCTCAACTAATGAACATTTTTTGGGACCCTTTGACGGCTTGGCGCAATTAATGCACGGTCGTTTAGATTAACCCTAAACATTACCGTTAGGAATAACTAAGATAAAATTGGCATCAGTCACGAATATTAGAACAGAAACATGGATCATAATCATAAACAAATGACGTCACTGACCCGATGTGACGTCATTTAGTTACGTTTCCATAGAGTTTCTGTTCCAATATTCGTCGTATCAGTATTTTCTTGTTGAAGACGGGACACAGGGACCAGTGGTGCCAATTGCTATCAAAAGGCTGTCAGGCGCAGGTTGGCCACATCACCGCATTAAATATCCCAGTGACCGGCCACATTAATCTACAAACCTGTCAGAAGCAGGAGGGAGTGTAGAAAGCCTATACCTACGTGAACTGGTCAATATCAACCGACTTGGTCTTCGAGGAGAAAATTTATACATATCAACCTAGTAGACACTTTGTTCCTTCCATCAAAGTAATTTGTAAATGTTCAAATTGTTTATGTTTCCAGACAAGCCATAAGATCGTGTCGCCCCTTGGGACAGTTGCAGACGCGCACAACTTGAGGGGTTTAATAGGGTTTGTTTGTTATTTATTTATTAAAGTCTTCGCAAATGGCAATGTCGTGGAAGAATTAAAACTCCACCAAGAGAAATCGGTCTAAATCCCTTAACATTTTAAGGATGTACCGAGAATCGAACCCGTATCCCTTTGCACCGAGGTCGGAGACGTTAACATTTACAAGGTAATTATTTAAGATGGGGACGCCACTAAAGCGTCTAACCCCGAATATGAATGAAGGACGAGTGGCGCGATCTTGTAGTCTCGTTAGTTACTAAAGGCCGACATTTTCCTTAGACACGGCTGTTTAATAGCCCATGGAGCCAATGACAACTAAGGGACCTACAGTTTATAGTGGAATCCGAACCACATTTTTGCCTCGTAATTAACGAATTGGTCTAATTGTCAGGATAGCACTGTGGGTAGTCGTAGTACTCACTAGTGTGGACGTTAATCCACACCAGGGAGTATCGCATCGTATCCACAGTGCATGCATTAAAATATCCACAATTCGTGATCTCCTAGTAGCTGGATTACAGGACGACGCCACCGTCCCGATCAGTTTTTT